GGGGAGAGAAAGAAAGAGGGAAGAGAGGGCACGGGAGCTGCTTCCTGAAGCAGTGTTACAAAAAAGTGGTTAAAAAACCCCAACTATTCACAAGTGGTTAAAATCATCACTTTGCAGAATTCCTTCCCCCCCACCCCCCTCCCCACCCTTTTATTTTTTTTTAAGCAAAGGTTCGGCTAGTTCAGCTCCGTGTTTTGAGAATTGATTGTCTTCAGGAAAACAAAACAAAACAACAAAAAAAATCATCATCATCAACAACAACAACAACAAAAAAAAAAACCCCAAACCCAAAACAAACTGAAAAACCAAATAAAAAACAAAACCAGATCAGCCTCATCCGTGTTCCCATCCGCTCTACCCTGATAGAGAAGCTGCCCACAGTTCGCCGCTGGTCACTGCTGTGGGTGACCCCAAGCAGCGCCGGCATCGCGGCCGGGCTCTTCCCTCCCACCCCGTGTCAGACGAAGGAGGAGAAGCCTGTCACTGGAGTCCGGGAGCCGGGTGCAGGCTGTCCCGTTGGGGTGTACACCCCTCCTGAGCTCTGTGTCGTGATGACAGTCTGGAAATAGGGTTCTGTCTCGCTGGCGGAGCACTCCTCGTATCTGTAGGATGTTGGGTGCTTCACCCCTTTCTGCTGCCGCTTCCAGGAGTTGTAGTACGTGGGATCGCTCATGTAATGGTTCACAAAGGAATGCTTTGGCAGCTCGTCTTCGTAATCTGAGTCGGTGGCCTGGAGTATAAGGGAAAAAAAATCAGCTGTTAGCATCTAGGATTTAGCTCAGTCCGCTCTGAAAGAAATTAGAGGGAAGATTAATATCACCAGCTGATAAAAGCCATAGTTTTAGGGTAGGATGGGTTGTAGTCCAAGTGTAACACATGCTGGCTGTAGGGGAGTGCTGCGCTCTGTCTGAGCCAGGCCTTGCTGCTAGGGGAAAATTCCCTGATGATCTCTTTCAATAAGACACGCAGAGAAAGGACAAGCTTTTAAGCTGAGACAGAGAAGGTTTAGGTTGGATATTAGGAGGAAGCTTTTCACACAGAGGGTGGTGAGGCACTGGAACAGGTTGCCCAAGGAGGCTGTGGATGCCCCATCCCTGGAGGCATTCAAAGCCAGGCTGGATGTGGCTCTGGGCAGCCTGGTCTGCTGGTTGGTGACCCTGCACATAGCAGGGGGTTGGAACTGGATGAGTATTGTGCTCCTTTTCAACCCAGGCCATGCTATGATTCTACGAAATCCCTTCTAATTCAGCACAGAATCCCACAGCAAGAGCTACAGCTTCCTACTTGGACAGGAGGTGCAGAGAAGGGTGGAGTCACTGTAGGGAAACCAACCATTCTGTGACTCTCTGGTATAATCAAAGTGATCACAATCGCAACAGCAATTGAGAATCTCTCTATTTCTGATACAAGGACTGACAGAACGCCTTTTGTGCACAACAGTTGCCATGCTGTTGTGTATTCTGGTCAGGTCAGGGCACCTGCACAGTGCTCGGAGTTTGGCTTGCAAGCCCCATTAAATATTGAAAATTAGTTATATCACTGGGAGGGAGTTAAGCAAAACCAAAATTTATTTCAGGCAAACAACTCAATTTCTACTTTCCAGTTGATTATCAGCAGTGTAACAATGCACACAACCAGCAGCGATGGCAGAAAACAAAAATGCAATATTTGGAAAAGAACTGCCAGAAAAGAGGGGATGCTTCCATCACGTGGCTCAGGCACAAGCCCACGCTCAGACAGGATCTTACCCCTGAAAACGTGTACAGAGGACGACCAGTAGCCTCAGTACCAGCACCTCCCTGGAGCTGAGGAGCTCTGCTGGGCTATAGCCAGAGCAGCTCTGTGCCCCCAGAGCACTGCTTCTGGGACACAGCTGCAGGAAGCATGGAGAGCTCATCGATCTCCTCTGAACAGAGACCACGGCAAAGCCTTGCCCATAGCATCCAAGCGCACATTTCCCTTCTGTTCCCACTGACATTCCCACCAATAGCAGCCACATCCCATACAGCACACAAACATTTACTCAGTCACTGCCGTATCTCATGCCTTCTCTTGAAATCTCTCATTCGAGCATGGAAAAGCTTTTATTCCTTTTTTTCCCCCCTGATAGCCTGCATAGCCAACCTAAAAGGCAATTAAAAATCAAAGTGGTGGCTGCCTATGACATACAAGAGAGAGATGGGTAAGCACAACTCACAACCACTAGTGACTGCAATTAGTTTCAGAAGCTTGGTATCATTCTGATCTGACACCACACAGCAAACACACACCCTCCTTGATCCTGCCTGCCACACGACTAGTCTCTCCTCCTCTAATGGCCTCTGAAGAACAATCTTCAAATGCCTTCCGAACCATCATTTGAAAAGGGCACCGCATCCATCATCCCACTCCTTTGCTTAGATAGCTGCTTCAATACTATTTCGTGCCTGTTTTCCAGCACAGAGAGTGATAGACGGGGCTGAGAAATTTTTTCCCAGAGTTTTCTGAAACTCTGAGTAAAGCAGTTTGCTAACAGCTTTGCAAAATTCCCCTTCTGTTAACCATGCTTTGGATCTTTCTATTGTTTTAAGACTGCAAAGCTCCAGGTGCCTTGATGCGTAATTAATATTACAACAAAACCCCACCAGCATTTAACAATTATTCCAGAAGGAACTCAGCAAATCTATCACCTGGAAAAACGTTCCTTTGCACCAGCTGCCAACCTTGGGAAGACAACACCGGGCTCCCTCCAAAGGCCTTCCTGAACAGGTGGTTTTTGCAGCGTGCCTGGAATATCCCCAGATTTGGAACACTTTGCAGCCAGGGAGTATAGAGAGCAGCTCCAGAGTCTTGGCACTGCTGCAGGAAACATCCTGCCAGCACAGCCCTGTCTATTTTGTAAGAGGCTCCAACAAAAGCGCTTCTGCTGATGGTGGATGTGGCAGTGTGACAGAGAGAGGCTACAGCTCAGGTCCTCAGCTGCAGAGCCAACAGACTTTTCCTGCAGACCTGGTTTCCTCTGTTCCTATCAAGAAACAAGATGTTGTGCTTTGCACCAGCCTATGTGGAGCTGCAGCTCTGTATGCCAGCGTTAAGGCTGTGAGCATCACCTAAAGATATAAACTCATGGATGCGCCCCCCCCCAAAGACACAGTGCAACAACAGCTCTTGCCACATCTTCTGACTCCTTCTCCAGTCCGAAGTCAATGCCTCAGACACACTCCTCCAGAGAAACAAGCCTCTGCTGGAGAGATGGATCATGTCAGCTGAGTTGCAGTGTTATACACATAAGTAAAAATATAAAATTGCTTCCTGTGGCTCCTTCCTGGTCTTCCTGATGGCCCCACAGACACAGGGAAGAAACATAAAGGCAGTTAAAAGGCCAGGAGGTCTAAGAAGAAATGCTGAGAAGGAGATGTATCCAGGAAAGGAGCACATTACTTGATAGGTACAATAATAGTGATGCAGCCACTTGATTTCTATCCATTGCTAGCAAAAATATACTTACCACAGAACTAATACAGTTTCTGTACCTAAGCCAAGTCCTTTTGAGTCTGCCAGAAGTCAACATAATGAAGAGGAGAAATATTGGGAGCACTTTTAGATGGGCTGCTGCCACTTGAAATAGACTAGCCATGGACAGAAAGTCCAAGATTTTCAAAACTAGGCCACCTGCTGATAATCTGTCCCCTAATTAGTCTGTTATCCCAACTGAAAGAGAATACTAATGAAGTGTAAATAAGACCAATGCCTTTGAGAAAGGACTTTCATGAAACTTATATAGCTGCAAAAGCCTCATCTCACTTCAGCCTTTCGCCATCGTTAGCGCTGATGCTGGGAAGGATAACCTGTTTTTTGGTCTCAATAGAAAGTGCTTTCTTTGTATTTCCTTCAAAATAAGCAGGAACCAACTATTCTGTGTTTCCAAAGTATCTTCTAAGGTCTGCTCCGAACAAGATACTGATACCTGCCCTTAGCAGCAAGGAATTCTCTAAGTTACGATCCCGTATCACTGCCTGCCCCAATGAAAGTCAAGGAGTCGAAAAATAAATGTTTTGCATGACAGTATAGACAGCTTATATTAGAGGATTACTTTCTAGTGTTTTTAAACTACTGAGGAAATAGAAATGCTGCAGGGCTTTTTGCTTTGTTTTCAGTTTTCCCTACTCTGCATCGCCCTTCAGTGCGACGGTGGCTTTGTTTCCTTGGAAACCTCCATAGGCTGAAGCATGATTGGTGTACGGTGACATTAGAGGCTGTCAACCAGAGTGTGGGGATGCCTATGAAACAATAAATACAGAAAATGAGAGGCTATTTAAGCATTATATTGATAGCATAGAATGCACAAATGCTGTTCAGAGGCAAAACAGCAATCAGAGTTGGCTAGCTGAGTCAATGGGAAATTCGAAAATAGTTCCAATTATTATTATTATTTTAAGCGAATGGATAAGCAACAGCTTTCTGAGATTATTTCTTAAAATGTAGGTGGCAGCAGCTTCTCTTGGTTGACATGAAACAAATATGTGTAAAAGAGGCAAGGGAACCTGGTAGGCAAGCCATTTTGCTGGACATGGGAACCTTCCTTATGAATGTCTCATCTGCAGCTGCTGCCCAACTCGTCAAAACTGCTTGAGAACATCAGAAACAAGCTAAGCCATATTCCTCAATAAGTGTTAAGTGGAAATTTATGGTATGTTCCCACAGAGCTGAGAAAGGGAAAATCAGTTGTGCCATGGCAGGCAGCTTGGAAGACCAGCGCATCTCCAGTATTCATCAGGGACTGACACTGCACAGAATCTGTGAGGACATCACCTCCTGAAAACAGTTTTTGGGATATCACAAAGGCATGTGAGCATAAGCAAATAGACAACACCCTGCCTTGCTCTGCAGTAGAAATGCCCTTCCCTGGCTGGCTGACATCACAGATGTATCATCAGATTTCCCTACAATGGTGAGCACCAAATTTCTTCAGATCGTCTGTCCAGAGCCTGGTCCACTTGACTCATTACCTAAAAGCCTATTATTATTAATCATTTAGAAATTACACTCTTAGCACTCTCTTGCTCCACACCTGCCAATTAAACTACTTTAACCTCATTAACGGTACCGGTGCTTGGCTTTCACGACATGGAGTGAGTTAACCATTTGATTTATGAATATTGGAGTGCTGCTTGGTCTGCTACATTTCCTCTTCGTTCCTCTCTTGCTCTCCTCGTCAGGAGGGAGCACGGAGGAAGGCTCCCAGGCAGCTGTGTTGCAAATGCAGTCAGTCAACCTGAGAGTTTCTCTCAGGCTTCTTCGTGCTCAGTAAAGCCCATGAGACTTGAAGCCAGTGAGCTTCCTTCTTTTCCACAGAAAAATCTTGACACTTCAGGCAACAAGGGTAAAACTAAGAAGCAATGAGACGACATACGGGTTGAAAGCAAAAGCGCTGTTTTTGGCCTTACCTGCCCTTATGTGCAGCTCAGTAAGTGGAATTTGAGTTCATCGCAAATATGTATTAGAGGAAAATAGCATCAGGATCCCTTTTTGCTGCAGAAGACTGAACACGTGTAGAGCTCTTATATAAAAAAAGATATCTTTAATTCTTCATTTAATAGGAAACATTCTTGCCTACTAAAAGCGATGGAGATTCTGAAAATCTCAGAAAACCAGAGCTTGTCTGTTAAGATATCCTTTGAGAACAGAAACCGAGAGCAGAAAAGATGAACGGGAAGAGCTAATAGGTACAGGAATATTTGAAAACAGAGCGGTCAAACATCTATACCCACCTCTGCCCCTGTGCCCTCATCTCCTGTCTGTACCAGCCAACATAAACAGCATTTTCAGGCTGATCAAAAGGCAGCATCTCCTCTTGCTACCTCTACCGGGAGCCTATTAACATTTCATGCCTAAAAGCACTCCCCACAAAAATAAGCAAGCATCAAAGACATTATACAGAAGGGCTGCATATCTAAGCCCCAAGGAAAAACAAGAGGCGTATTTTGTTCCCATTCTCACATGCAGACACAGTCACAAAAACACTAGAATCTCAATCGGGACCTTCAGGCTCGACTGCAATACACAGTAAATAAATAATATTAATAATAGCCTGAGGAAAAAAAAAAAAAAAAAAAAAAGACACAACACTTTCTTCTATGTCGTATAAACAGTGCATATAGAAGGCAGTAATGACACCCTGCAAGGAGACTTTTGCGCATTACCAGAAAATACCACATGGGGCAATGAAATTAATGTCAGAAGGTGCCAGAGCTAAATTCATGATCATGCTCAGCAAACTGTTTTAATGACAGGTTTAATGCTGGGTTGTTACAGTGACATGACCAAAGCACTACGGCTTTAATCTGGAGGTAGCGCTTGTGCACCGTGCAGACAGCAGCTCCAGCTCTGCCAAGGAAGCTCCTGGCACGCCGGGTCGGCGATAGGGCAGCACAAAGCAGCAGGCTGTCCGTGGTAATTAACAGGAGGTGAGAGCTAGGTAGCCAGGAAAAGCAGCTGTAGCTGCAGGTGCAGAAAAGCTACAGATGAAAACTGTCATATTCCTTCACTACTTGCTGCTCTTGATTTATTCTTGCTGGAAGGGTCAGGTTTGGAGTGGTTTGGCCCACTGCTCGCTTCTTGTGCTGTCAGCTCAGATTCATCGGGATCTCAGCTGACAACACACAATTTGAGAGACAGATTTACCTGTCTGCATGTCCCTTGAAGTCTGCTTATTCACCCATGGCCATTGCTGGGCTTTTACAGACCGTAACCACTTTATTTCTTCTTAAAGGAGTTGTGAGACACAAGATAGAGCACTGTCAAATGTGTAATGTTGGCATACAACCACCTTCCTTGGGAAAGAGAATCTGAAAGCATCCCAAGCAGAAGGCTCCTGTAGACTGGGGTGTTTGGAAACCTGAATGCTGGGCTCTCACTGCAATTGCTACGAGATCCCTGGCAGGTTACTGGTTCCCCACTTACTCCCATTATAATGCAGGCAGCAGTTCTCATCACTAAAGAACATACTTCCAAATCTCAGTGTTTGCTGCAGCTGCCTAAAAAGGCACTGTGAAAACTTGTGATAATATCGATGCAGACAAATAATGGCAACAGTGCAATGCAGGTGTGCAGTGGGATTTCAAAGTCTTTGGTCCAGGGAATGAATGTGTGCAGTGACTGGGCAATGCTTAGCGAGGCAAAGGCAAACCCTTACCTCTGACTCTGACATTTCTAAGGGCTTCTCGTTGAGTCCCAAGCCCTCAGTCAGCACAGCTCCATTGTACTTGTTGCAGATATCCTCATCAGAGTAGTGCAGCCCACCTGGGCTTGGGCGAGGAGGAGACCTGGCAAAGACAACAGGTGAGTGTATGGATATCATCATTTCTCTCAAATGATGCAATTAGAGACAATAAAACCACGCTTAGAAATCAGAATCACAGCCTGGAGCTGTGACTTGGCATTAGTGTGAAGACCTCCTTTGATCCACCAGACAACAGTGTCTCCATGTTGCCTACTTAATGGCTGCCCGAATCTAAATGAAAATGCATTTCCAGCAGCGTGGTGTTTCCAGCTCCTTACCTGGTTCCATTTTTCTTTGAGAATGTGCTCTTGATGTTTAGGTGTCTGCTGTTGAGCTCCAGAGCAGTGAAGCCCCCATTATCCAAGGTGACTGACTCTTCCACATTGGAGATGGTCTTACCTGGAGCCAGGCAATGAGAGATTCAGCTGAAACAAGGGCATTTTCCTCCCAGATATGACTTTAAGATTAATTAAAAATGAGTTGCTAACTTTCCCTTCATTATGTTTTATGATATCGCTATTTTGTAAAAATCTCTCTAGCTTTGTTACTGGAAAACGAGTACAAAGTAGAAGAAAGGAGCATATCAGGAGTGCAGACAGGCAGAAGGAGCAAAAGTAGGGGAGGGAAGGAGTCATGGATGAATGCATTTCATTCAATGGTAAGTATCTAAAATAACACAGGTGAACTGTGCTCCACAAGTGCTTATTCTTATCTTTGGACTACAAATGGAACCCAGGTGAGTATTTCAGGTGGTCACTGAAGGTGTCCTAAACCAGGTGACACGCATCCCATTAATGCTGACTGAAGCAAAACAAAAGTAAAACTAGGAAAGGCAGAAAAAGAAGAAAGAAAGAAAGAAACAAAAAAAGGCAAGGGAAAGGATTAGTGGGCAGCAAATGGAAAAAAAGATGTCGAACTGTAATGAGAATAAGATATAGGTGTGAGAAATCACCAGACAATGTAAGGTGGGGAAAAGGACAGGCACTGGCAGAAAAGGGAGAATACAGCAAGGTATGTTTGTTCCTGTGATCAAATATAGCAAGAGCTTATTCTCTCCCGTGATCTTCTTTGTAATCCCAAAGGTGTGAGCTCAGCTAGTGTCCTGCAGAGAAAGACCAGTTGCGTATTGCCACTTTGCAGCAGGCAGGTGCCTCATCCTCAACTTCAATTTCAATGCTACATTAAGACTCAGTGTGAACACTGATACCTGACAGTGCAGGTCAGACGTGCCTTTTCTTGTCTGTGCCCCAAACACAGAGCAAAACTAAGAAGATGAGTGATTTTCTATGAGCTATGCATACAAATATGTAATAGTATTAACTTGGTGAAATGCCATGATATTCATACATCTTATATGCCATGGGACTAAAATCTGATTTTCTAACGCTTGTTAGCAGTGAATTATAAAGAAAGAAAGGATCTTCTCTTTGGGACTGAATTGCTAAATACTGCCTGGAAGACTCTTTCCAGACTCCTTCATTACATTAATCCCTTAGAACGAGTAGCATAAAGACTCATCCACTCAATCTGACTCATTAACGGGTCTTTTTGGCAAGGCCTTCTAGCAGCAGAGCAACTTCTTGCTGGAGGTGGAGATAGCTACCAAAGAAACACACAAATGAACAACTTTTTCACATAAGGTGAAGAAAAGGTAAGAAGAATATTCACTGCTCTGGAACCAGGTGCTTAAAAAGGGGACTTTCAACGTTCCCAGTTACAGAGCAGGTAGTTCCTCTTTCCTTTTAGAAAGGAATGGTAAAAACTGTAACTAAAGGCAAATTCACATCTTGATCCTCACAGTGCCCTGAACTCCAACAGGCCCGGATACCCAAGGCACCTCCCAAATCCTTGGCACCAGACCCGTAACTGCAGCTTGGCTTAGGGAACGAACGCGAGATGCTGGGCACTCAATTTAATATAAAGGAGCTATGATGTAGTCCTCACACATACAGCCATAGGATATTTGCATTGGGTACAGACACGGAAAGCAGAACCCTCTCCCCATCTATCAGGGAATGACAACTAATCTAAATGAAGTCTCCGCTCATTCATTTTTTGTTGTCCTCTGCCAAGCATTTGACCCAGACGCCTTGGCTTTTGTTACAGCCCCTGGGCCTTCCAGATGCTGTTCTGTCCAAGCCCGTGGTTAACTTCCAAAATCTCACAGGCTCAGGCACTCATTGCCCAGCAAGGCCATGGGCAAAAGCCATTTCTACCAAATCAAACAGTAAAAATATCCAATTCTTCTGCCAAGCAAAATACCTATTAAAAGAGCACGTGCTGGTGAAATCAAGATTTCAAAGGGAAGACATTTCTAATTCCTGAAGATCTTGAGAGCACGTGTACAGTGCAGAGCTGCTGTCTTACCTGTGCTGCAGTTCTTGTACTTCTTGCTCTGGCCATGCAGGACCAAAGCAAATACCACCAGCAGGATCAGGATCAGACTTGAGAGAGCCATCACCAGGAGAAACCACCACTCCTCATAGAACGGGGCTTCTGTTTGTGCTGAAAATGCAAAAGAGGAACAACAACAACTCCTTACGCTCCTGAAGAATTACCCTTTCTCCCCCACAGTGCTCTGGAAAGAGGCGTTCAAAGAAGTTGCCTGAACTTGGTGTTTTCTCAAGTCATTTCACTCCATTTGACCTCAGCTGGAGGCATAAGAATGATACATACTTCCCCTTCCTAGAGTTCTCTTGCCCAGTCGTGGTTTGAAGCTGTGAAGTACTGCTGTTTTTTGATGTGATATTCTCCTTGACAGCACCTCTCAGCTTTGACCAAAAGTGCTGCCTCTGGAGCACAAAGAGCAGTTGTATGTGATTTCCCTATAGTTTACCTTATGAGGAGTGGGCGATGCCAGGAGACCAACCCAAATCCTCACTGTCGCTGAACTCAGGCACTCTCTTTCCTCTCACTGTCCTGGATCATGGATGTAAACTAATGTCTGCTGTAAGCCTGACGATGTGGGCAATCTGTTCCAGATCACTGGGTACTCTGCAGCAGTGAAAAGCAGCCACAATCTTTATTTGTTAGGAGGTCAACCCAAGCTAACAAAGTCCTGCAGGCAAACTGCACAAGGCACGCTGGGCTGAGCAGATTCAGTGCAATTTACACCTCCCTGTGCGAGCTGAAGTGGGCAGCATAAAACGCTGTGTACTTTTATGGCTGGGAATCTCAATGGAAACCTCTTACTTTCATGCAGCAATTTGAGATGAATACTGAAGCATCAAAAGGAGGTGAATTAAATAGTTCGGTTCAAGTGGAGAACTTACAAACAAGCAGTTTATTTATATATAAAAAACATCAGAAGGAGTTGCATGTCCGGCTTCAGGGGAATAATGTCTTCTGGGAATAGAGAGACTGACATGATCACTGACCCCTTACATTGTGCTACAGCCTCTGTGAAACCACAGATAGGAGAAACACTGACTCTTGGTGTTTGAAGTGGGCTGTCTGTGCCCTCGTCCTGAAGGAGAAAAGCAAGGGTAGCACTCACACTGAAATCCACAGACAGCTCTCAGGCTAAGTGGTTAATTGTGTAAGGACAAACGCGGCCGTGATGGCGATAGCAGCATTTACTGCTCCTGCCTGCTGGGTAACCACTGAATGGTGTTTATGCTTTTCACTCGAGAAGCAAAGAGATAAAAGCCACTCCAGATGCTGGAGCACTGCCAGGTTCTCAGGACTCTCCAGAACTTTGAATCACAAAAGACATTTTTTCAGGTTCTTTTATTCCTCGTCCGTCTTTGCTGACACAGCGAGGACGAAACCTGTTGCTCAAAAGCAACCTGGAGTACAGCCCTCTCTGCAAGGGTAAGAGGAGACGTGAGCAAGACATTTACGAGGGCAAGCTCTCCCACTTCACAACAGCCCATCGAACTAAAGCTGTCCAAGCACGGCAAGCCAAGTGGAATTGAAAGTTTCTTTTCAAGGCACTGAAGGTTCCTTTAGGAAATCAGAGTGCTGCCTTGTTCAAAGGGACTCTGGAAGCGTGTTTAGGCCATAGCCCTCTTTACTGGGAATTACTACACAGAGTGGGAAGGGTGGGATGGGTCCATGAGTGCCACCATCAATCTGCTGTGGTGAAGGGGAATGGGGGCATCACTGTGCTGGAATTGCCAGCACAGAGGAAATAATGAGTAGTTTTGTCAGACTGCATTCTTGAGAGCTAAATGTAAAATAACACAGAAAGTGCTTATCACAGAACCTTGGGAAAAGAGAAGAAAGCAGAGTAAACAACACAACAGACCTGGAGAGGAGGAAGGAGAAAAAGCAAACAAATTGTAGACTTTGTAAATTAGTCTTAAGGCAAGAAATCTTACGTGTAAACACACTCACAAACTTCACGAGAATGTTCTTTGCCAAGCTTAAAAATGGCACAAGCTTATTCTTCCCACTGAGAGTAAAGCATACTGAAATAACAAGCCTTGATTCTCAACAACATTTTGCCCTGAAACAAGCTAAAACGAGCTGGCCTTGCTGTTTTATTGTAACGTGAGAAACTGGTTTTGTTTTGTTTTATTTTTTCTTCCTCCTCCACCTCCAGTAAGACAATCTGTTGGAAAGCATTATCACACAAACACGATTACCTGATACTGCCACGGAGGGAACACTTGGCTCCCCATAGCCAAATTCATTGACAGCCACCACCCGAAATTCATACGTCACGCCCTGTTTGAGTTTGTCCAGGCTGACAGTGTAGGAGGTAGCGCTGCGAGGAATGTCCTTCACAAACATGTCCCACAGTCCTTCATCTGGGAAAGCAGCGAGGAGAGGGATGGCATTAACTGCGTGACTTGGCATTTCCTTTTGATTGTGAAAAATAATTGCCGTTAATTGTGTTGCTTCCACCGCAGGCAGTTTGGACATGCTTACCTGAAGGCTGCTCGGCGATACACACAAATGTCAGAAAGCACTGCAAGACCTCATCTGTAAAAGGATTTACTCGTGATGGGGGTGTCATAACAGCCCAGCTGGGAGACACGGCTGTTAAAAGCTGCAGCAGCATCTGTGGTGACCTAAGCTGGCTGGAGCAGCTGCCAGCCATCTGGGTCCCTCCTGCCAGCGTAAGGTCACTGCATCTGCACGCCTGTTATCTGACAGAGCAAGTAAGCCCAGAGCAACCTGCTACATAAATGAGTCCTAATTGCACAGGTTTTGTCTGCTTTTTACTTTGCAAAAGTGACTTTGCTACCCAAGTGTGCAGGCTAAGTTTTACAAACCAATGTCAGATTTGGGTTTTGGCAGGGGGCACTGTGGCCTTGCGAGATCTGGTTTCCCAGTGGAATGGTGCTCAACATTAATGGAGATCTGTCCTTTGCATGGGCTGGACTGCAGCGTGGCACAGCCCGTGGAGTGAGGCAGCAGGCACTGCATTTCTGTGCCATATATTTTTAAGCAGGAACGAGGTTTTGTTTGCATTACAAAGCTTTCAAAGTTTCGGGAAACACGATGCCTTTTGCATAACTGATGAGAGCGTTTCCGTAGGGTAATCTCAGCTCTCTGCAGCCATGCTGACATTTATCCTGATGCGCATCCTGACTAGGCACCGTTCCAGTCCCTGATCCATACCCGTAACCTTACTTTCACTTGACTTCAATGGAAAGAACTTTCAACTAGATGGATGCTGTTACCAGTAAGAACAAAACCAACTATAATTAAAGATGCCAGTCAATAATTTTGAGTGCAGGAATCAAACATTAATCTAACTAGACTGCGTATCAGCAACAATTGGTGCCCAGCACTTCCTCCGACAAAATGAAGTTACGGTCTACACATGGTGCCAAACTCTCAGCTAGCCTCAGCCAGCACAGCTCTTAAGGATTTGACCTGATCAGACTTCTACTTTTAGTTATCAAAGCTGTTCAAACAATGTCTATTTTTCTCTGTACGTCCCACAGCAATAGGAAGGCTGTGATAACCTCTGCATAGATACTATTCCAGTGCAGGAGCTTTGAAAGAAAGCCCTCTGCACTGCAAGATCCAAGCATCAGCAGGAATCCTGTAGCTTGAGGTGTTATCAAGGTAACAATAAAACAGGAGCCAGCAGCACTACCCTTAGCAACTTGTTCCACTGCTGCAGTGTGAGGCCAGAATCTGTTCTCATTTGCTTTGCATTTACCCAAGTGTAAACTAATTGGAGACGCTGCAGCAATTCCAAAGCTGTGTTGGTGTAACAGAACACAATCTGGCCCTTAGCCTACTTCTGTGCAATGGGGAATAACAGCAAAGATGGACTGATTAACACTGCAGGTGCATTTCCATGTGAATGTTTTAACTTTGGCATCAGTAAATGTTGGTTTGGTGATTTGTAACGTGCTGCACATCTAGCAACACACACAATGACTAACAACCCCCAAACTACTTCTTTTCTGATCATAAGGATTGGCAGTCTCAGTGGATGCAGAAAGCAGGCTGAAATGTTATTGTTCCAGCTACATTTGAGAAATACTAAAGAACAATAAAAATAGGTAATTCGTCTGTCAGGCTTAAAATTCAGACCAATGCATTATTCACCACCATGATCAGAGTATAATGAAGTTATCATAATGTACCATTGTTATGTATTAGTTGGATATTACAATGGCTATAAAACAAGAGATAAAATATTGACTTCTCTTTTACAGGGCAATTGAAGGCTAGATTATTTCTACCACGTAAACTCACAACGTGATAAAAAGGGAGCCTGGGATTTAGCTTATCCGAAAAGGGTGGAGCGAGGGATGCATTTTCAAAGTTGGATTGTCACAGCCACCGATACTAAGAAGATGCATTCAGACTATAAAATATTGCTATAATTGCTAGAATTGCCTGAGCTTTCATAAACACATTTGTAAACAGCAATAAGAGAATTTGAGCCCATTGTGAATTGTCAGAAAAGCAATTTGTTTACAATGAAGGCTGCTTAAATGGGGGAAGAAAAAGCAACAGTAAAAATGAATGTTCAACACTCATTGCAACAAACACAACTGTTCACATACACTTCCTTGCTTATTTTCTCAAACCTATCAAGGTGCACAATGCAGAATATCCAACAGACCAAGAAAGTTGAAATTTAACCACTCTGTAAAGCTTGTAAGTAAGGATGCAGTAAGGATGTCTTTCTCACTGCTGATCCAAGGAGATGTTATACACAAGGCAGTCTGTGGCTTCTCCAGCTCTGGCCAACAAAGCTTTTAATTACAGAGCCTCAATTTATCTAACCTCTGTCCAGAATATTCAGGCCTGTCTTTATGGACAGAGATTACAATCAGATGTATCCAAACTAAAAAAGACATTTTATTTCAGTAGTGAGTTCTGCAATTAAATATTGAACACAAACCTATGAATTCATTCTCCCATCTTTTCCTCCTCCCTTAAAACCAGGTTGGCTCTAAATGTCAGAAGTTCAACTGAAAGAGAATTCATTAGAGGGCCACCTTGATAGTGAAGACTGGCCTTTAAGTTCGGTAGAAAATCATTAGTATACCATACTCAGCATTTTCCACTCAGTTTTGGGAGGAAGGATGAGCATGCTGTGGTTGGGATACTATCTGGGTATTAATTCATGGAAGACCCAAACGTCAGGGAAAGGCAAAGCCATCTCTGACCTTCCCCATTTGCAGACTGGGCACCTCGTGGGCAGGTGCTGAGCACTGTGGTGAGGCACAGCCCAGGCACAGCAGCTACATGCAAGTCTGGTTTCACGGGGAGTTAATTGGGGTCCATATAGAGCTGCCAGGCAGTAACGAGGGCTCCTGGCTCTGATAACTCTGCCTGCTATCAAATGACTGCTGTGCTGCAGCTGGAGAGATGGAAAGCTGTCAGTTATGTGGATCTTAAGCACCAGCCTTTCCCCTCGGAGAAAGAGGAGGGCTGTGCTGTAAAACTTTCTCCTAATTACATATTAGCAGGTTTATGAAGGGAGAAGCAGCTGAGAATTAAGGACTTGCTGAATACGAGTAGTGTTCCTCCTACAGAGGGCAAAATTAAAATGTGGAAGCATTTGTCAGAGGCAAAGGGATGGATTATCATGCAAACTAAGGGAAGGACAAGAATGGGAAGTGAAGGCTGACTAACTGTCAACCTCAGCATGTTACTTGTGAGCAGAAGAGAATCAAAGGCCCCATGGCAGATGCCGGCAATGCAGCTGCAGCCTTCACTTTGAATTTACTGACTTCTGCTGGTTTGTGTCCATGTTTGACACTGCACTCCCTCATTTGTTTAAAAATAAATAGAAAAGGAAGAAAACAACAACAACAACAACATTTCTCAAGACACCAGAAAGAAAACTGAAGTGAGATCTGCCCTTGGGGTGTGGGAAGTGAAAACCAGCGTTCGTGGGAAGGACAATCCCCTGTCCAAAGACGAGTTCTGCTGCTTTCATGGAACAGAGCATCTAGGGCAACAAAAGAAAACACTCTCCAGAGCTGTTTGCATCCTGAACTCATGATGTGTGGCTGATCTGCAGTGCAGCCAGCCTGTTCACGCCAGCCAGAGTGCTAGAGGTTAATTATTGGCTTTATTATTAAGCTGCAATTCTCTCCCACTGGGACTAAGTCATGCACTACTTGGGAAAAACAAACCAACAAAACCCAAAAGGCATGGTGGGGAGAGAGCAAGCACAACTGGACACCTCTATTGTCTTGTACTGCTTCAGAGGCTTTCCTGAGGTACGGAGCAGAGACTGAGCCCTGCAGGGCTGTCCCACACCTTGAGATGCCCACAGCAGGCCAAAACGTGCATGAAGCCTATGTGGATGTGTATTCCTGGCAGCATGGCTCCCTAGGCCACGGGGCAGAAACACATGCATTGCAGAAAGGGGACAACTGGGGAGGAAAGCCTGTGTGACACTGCTGCATGCTTTACAGGCCGTGTGCCCGAAAGTAAAGCAGGGTATGGAGAAAGGAGGCTTGAAGATGATGTGCGGTTGGAAGAAGAGGTGCAAACTCATCCTCTCCACTCCATCAGCAGTGCTGGGAACCTTTACGTTGATGTGCCATTTCTGTCTTTTGTTCAGCACGTAGAAACAAAGGACATGATCTAATACCCACTTCTTAGCCAGCCTAGTGGATGTCTAGGGAGTGCTTTCTATGGCAGTGACACGGGCTGCTTAATTGCACTTCTTGTAATGCAAAAGGAGCTAAACTGGAATCCATTTCTCCAGGGACAGATGAGTTGAAGGAAAAGAAAAACTCTGCTGTTTCTGTAATACCTTCCTGTAGCACAGATCACTCTGGAAAAAACATTGGTTTGCTGCTCCATGCTGGTGTCTAAGTATATTCAAAATGCACAGGAGACAGTCAGCCTGGTCACCTGCCATAAATCTGGGAGAGAAATGGGGAAACGAAATGAACAATCTCAGTTGCCTGCTGCCACCATTGCTAAACCCAGCAGGGCAGCTGGAGGCCTGCAAAACACAGCGGGGCACTGAAAAATGTGAAGGGAAGTGACAAAAGCAGGTAGAGTTTGCCATTTATGACAGAAAGCCACCCTCGTACTCTGATGGAAGAGTCTTGGCAGGGAGCTACAGCAGGGAAAATGAGATGATACGGCATTTAACGTTTGGGGTAATGAGGCCTATAATAGATGACACTTGAGATGTGAAATACTAAGGTAGTGGTATTGCATTTAAATATTGGCAACAAGCTAAAGCTTTTCATCTGTCTGTTCAATGTCCCTTTTTTGATCTCAGAAGGATGAATATCTTCTCCTTCCTTGATTTTATGTAAAGGGCACAAGTCAATTGCTCTTCTCTTGGACAACCAGTACTTAAAAATAAAGGTTGCTCCAATCCATGTTCTACTACACACACAAAACAACATGCAGAAGCGAATTCATAGAATTATATTAAAACAGAAATGGCTCTGAGTGGCCGGCCCTGACAGGAGGAATTAGTCTCCTGCCTTTGTTAAGCTCATAATTCAGATTTCAAACTCTTCCATGCAGAGAGGAGGAAGAAAAGCGGCAGTGAAAGGAAGCTGCCACTTGCGTGAAATAAGCAAGCGCTCCAATTAGTCCTCTCCTCTCTTGGATCACATTTCACGCTTTCTACAGCTGCAACCAGAACTAAGGGTGAGAATCCAGCATACAAATGGCTAGTTCATTTGCTATAGCAGCATGAATAGGATTAAAATAATCTGAGGAGGAATTAAATGCCTCAACAGTCAGGTTGCAAGAGCAGGAGTATAAGACCCCTTCTGTGCGTTTCCAGGATCAGTGGCGTGAGGCCAGCTGGAATGACCCAGGGTTAATGCAGCTCAGACCTGCCTTGGAAGGACTATTTTCTTCCTGCTCAGAAAGAGTGAGCCACAAATCCTGTATCCTTAGATGAGAACTGTGAAGTGTTTGTGCACATCCACAGGTGAGACGAGTCCAGGAACATCAGATGTGTTTGCAGTGCTGCAGCTCACCCGAATGTGAACATGGGGTACAGGTTTCCCTCAGAAACAATCTTACTCTAAAAACCCTGTTTGGGGAAATGTAAGCTGGTAAGCAGACCTCAGCAAACAGTTTTGTTTTAATTTACTAACACTGTTCAAAGATGAGAGAGAGCATTTTCTGCCTATGAAGAAAACAGAGCAGGGATCAATAAGTTGATGTAAGGCAAATGGAAGCATTTGGTGACATGCCTTCACTAAAAAAAAACACCTGAGATCAGTGTGAAATTCACCTGCTTTGAGAGTGTACACATTTTCCTTCACTTTGTTTTGAAAAAAAAAACCAACAGATCATGTTAAATGACAGAATTCTGGGGTCCCCACACAGCCTCACTACAGAATAAGTTCTACCAAAGGCAAGTATGGAAATTTGCAGCTTCATCAACAATCACAACGATTTTGTTATCACTCCAGTTAAATACAATTATAATCATTGGTTTTAAATGTAGCCTTACATTCAAGACACATACAAGAGAGAGTTCAGATCCTTTATATAATCAAACAGATAAGCATTAACTTAATCAATATATAATCAAGCAGTGTGTAGGCATCTAGAAGTGAAAAAGCAAAGAACAAGCAACCAACATGGGTATGTCAAGTATAAATCATGTCTAATTTCCTCCTGTGACAGGGTAGCAGACCTTGTCAATAGAGGAGAAAGAACAGACATCATCTATCCTGACTTCGGCAAAGCTTTTGACATCATGACATTCAAACATGGCCTACATGAAACAAGTATCTGGTAGATGCATCAAGGGCTGGAAAACTGTACTTGGAGAATGGTTATCAGCACTCCTGTCAGAGTGGAGGGAATTTATCAAGTGAGATTACACAGGGGTCTGGCAGTATTCGCTGATTTGTTAATGGCTTGGCTACCACAAAGTGCACGCTTGTTAAATTGGCAAGGGGGTACCAAGCTGGGGGAGGCTGCAAACAAGCCGGAGCAAAGGCCTCAATATAAAACCATCTTCTCCAGCTGGGAAAATACTGCGAATAAAGCAGAGGGCAACTTCACTTAGACGTAACTGCCAGAAGGAAAGGAGCTCTGGGAAAGCACCAAGAGGAACAGCGCTGATGAGGAACCTCCTCTAGCCCTTAATGCCCTCCTTGCAGAACAAACGGGGTAGCCATGCATGCACGCTGCTGCGGTCCTGGCCTGGTTATTAACAGTGATTAACTGCTGTGTTCTGCTGCTGAACGATAGATTTTTGGTCCTCAAAAAGCAGTTTGCAAGCATTTAAGTCCTTGTGTGTGAAAGATGCTGTAAACATTTAAGTGAGTTTTAATTATTAACTGCATTGGTTCATCAGCTGGATGATTTACCAGTGATGTACCACACTGGAAACTAGAGCAATTAGGGTAATTTCCTGTGATTGTGCCTAAACAGGAGAAAATATGATAACCCGTGTAATAAATCAGCAAAGATTCAGTACTGGTTGGGAACTGCTCTGTCTCACAAAAATCCAGTAGCTCACTGAGAAGAGAAAGAGCATCTCCACTGCAGGGTAGGTAGCCCAGTATGGGCTGAATATGGGAACTCAGGACAACGAGCTCTCCATGATTCCCATGGCTTACCTGAGGGACGTGCCTCTATAATGTACCCAGTTGTGGGTTTTTCTCCAGAATCCCCCTCAGTCCATTGTACCGTCAGCCCAGAAGCAGATTTTGTCACTAGGATTTCCTGAGGGGAGCCGGGAGACCCTGGAGGATTAAATGACAACAGCAAATGCTGGGTGTTACCAGAGATGTACTTTGGTATTCTTCATTTCTTCTCCTGATAAAGGAAATAAATAATCCGGGAGCACTGGCCAACATATATTCAATATAAACCAGCTCAATAAGATGCTGGCCTAATTTTTTACTGGCACTAATTATACAAGCGTGTCTGCTAAGAAGGAAAGGGGGAAAACTGATATAATTGGAGGGAATTTAAGTTGTTATGATTATCTGGCATCTGTTATCACTGATCAAATAAGAAAACCAACTGTTTCAGTACACACACTGAACAAGCAGGGAATGCTGAAATTCAGCCTCTTGGCATGTCAGGAAATCTGCAGACATCTCCCTGTGCATAAGCCAAAGTGTTAGGAAGCAATAACTGTAAACTCTTCCTGTTTTTACACCCAGAAACCTCTACTGGTTTAGGCAGAACCATTCCAGCTCAGACTCCTTGGATAGCACACCAACCAGAATTCTGAACCACAATGGATGTAGTTTTGAATTCCTTGGGTAGCCAGTTTGCACTATGATTTATTCACACTGTTCTGTTTATTCACACCAGTCTTCTAGTTTTCTAGAAAGAAAAAAGATGTTTTTCATGTGCAGATGTGAAATCCACTAAATCATGCTCTGTGCTCCTGTGATTCAACTTCTCCTTGGCTTAGAAGGCCACGTTAAACCCTGAGCATGCTATTCTCTGCTATTGGGCTGCATTTGCATCACTGATCCGGTTCCTGATGTGTTTTTATGGTTCCACTTACCTTCTGCTGGCCCAGCTGTGACGTTGGCTTGCAGTTCAGGACCATAGGCAATGGTTCGGGCTTGCACTCTGAATAAATAAGTCATGCCCTTGGTAAGATCTCGGACCTTTAGCCAGCGTTGCCAGTTCCCTTTAATATCCACAGTCACCACCTTACTGACCCCTGGTGTAGCCACATGGATGAAAAAGAAGAGAAGGTTGCAATGAAAAAAAAAAGAAAAGAAAAAAAAAAAGCTTATTATATCTAGATGGTAAGTAAAATCATCTAACAGTTTGCTAAGAAAGTATTTCTTACAATTAGCAGGAGTTTAAGTAGTGATAATAGCCAATTTTCAGCACTGATAAGTATAATTAGAGTTTAAGCTTGATAAGTGGGTACTGACAAGAAAAAAAACCTTACAACACAACTGGGAAATTACCAAGAGACTGCACGCAACTTCTCTAATTACTCTGGGAAGAAAGGAGGAGGTAAACGAAGAGGACTGCAGTGTTGCAGATTGCTTCCTAAACAAGCACTTCTCTGCTCTTTCTTTGCTGAATAACCTGCAGTGCTGCCTTGGAGGAGGAAATGAGGCTTCAGGTTCTTTCCTTCTTGTCCTGGCTCTTGCACCATTATCAAGTGAATGTGGAATGAAGGACAAATATCTCGCAGGCAGCTTCTGGGTATAAGTGCCACTGCAGCAGGGGATGCAGTCAAAGCACTGTTCACTTGGGGAGGGCTAAAGCCATGACTTGTCTTCCAGTCTTCCCCACTCTTCAGAATTTTTCTTAAACGGATGAATTAAAATCTAGTTTTTACTGAAAATTTCTACAATTACATTAATGGAAGCAATTTGATACATAAAATATTTAATGGAACAAACAGAACTTGAAGTGACAGAGTCCTTTTGGTATTGCCTGGTCCTGTACATAACACATCTCCAGCCAAGAAGATAAGAAGTAGGAAGATGTTTCTCCCACTAGAGAAGGCTGCCTGTTAGTTTTCCTCCCCCAGGAATGCCAAAGGAAGAAGTTTTTCAATCTGGATGCTTATGTTACATGCAAATCAAGACGCCTCCTTCAATTTTTATCAGTTAAAGGAAGAATAATGTCCAAGTGATTCCCGTTCAAAGTTTTCTCCCAGACAATTTATAATTCAGAGGATCTTTTCTCAGTTAATGAGGAAGCAGTAGAAGTGCTCCCTCCTTCCCTAGGTGCACTATTTCATTTCTCAGAGACAAATCAGGAAGCATTTGTCATTTCAAAGTAATGTTCCGAAGAAAAAAAAAAAAAAAGAAAGAAACTGTTAAAAAAAGGCCCCAGGGCAATTTTGTTGTCTATTATGGTGTAAAACATAGCACCGTAAAGCTTAAACAATAAAAGGTCAGGCAGGGAGAGGAGTGTGCTGTGGAACAGACCAGTGTTAGCAAGGTTTGCAAAACATGCAGGATTTACATGGTGGCTTACAGAGAGAAGGCAGGAGGTGTCACAGGGCCGAGGGGGGCTCAGCCAAAAATCACAGCTGGGAGAGAAGTCAACAGTCAGCAGGAGGGGTCTGGCATGGTGCACTGCAAGCATGGAGCAATGGGAGGGCTGGGGATGGGAGGAGATGCAGGGTGATGCCCTGACCCCCATTGATGCCAGCACTGCCATGTGCTCTATTTTCAGCAACCTAGGCTTTGCCTTGAAGCCCTCTCAATAAATGAGCCGAGTTTTTCTATTTCTCTGAGGAAAATGATGGCTTTGAGGGAGGGGTTGCTTACGGTATAGGGGAAGTAAATGTATTTGATGAAAGAAAAGTGATGGTACAAAAGGAAATGGGAGAAATGGGAGAAAAAAAAAATCCATTATTTTATAAAAATAAAATAAGAAATAAATTTAAGTAAAAAAATATATGTAATAATTTGAGGGAAAACTCTCTAAAACATCCCTGCTTGCACCAGAAATAAATCTAGAGAGGGAGGACAGACAACTTGGAGTCAGAAAGCAGAGGTGGGGAAGAGAAAAAAAGAAAGGTCTGAGCATGTTCAGTCAAATGTGTACAGAGAAAGCTTGATCCAACAATTCCATACTTTCAGGGGAACAAAATGTATTCTGTGTAGAAATGAATGTAAGGCAGGAAATATCCAGAGAGCCCAAGCCTCCTGCGTACCCTGTGCACATTTCTTGGTCAGAATTGGAAATGCTTTCTGTATTAGCTCTTTCTGCTTGGATCTGCCAACCATAAAGGCTGAAAGTGCTTTTAGGCTCATGTTTTCATTTCTGAGTATAATTTTCTCAGTGTATGAGACATGGATATTCAGACAATATAGATCTTTATTCCTTACAGAAGAAGCAAATACCAGTGATTGATATCCTTATTTCAATGGGAAAAAAAGTTCAAAATAGATTGGCGATGGCTGAAATTACTCTCCATGCTGTCACACTGCCAAAGCTGGACATCCTATTGAACGACTGGCAATCTACCAGAAACACAAAAATGTTAATACAGCCATTCCCAAACTTTGCAATCTTTTCTAATTCAACTTTGAAATTAATCCACATTTGTTTTCAGAGAAATTGCCAAATCCTTTCCTCATGCTGTTTTGCAAATGAGTGAAATGACTGTGGCCTTTGCAGTGTTGTCTTAAATCTACTGCTGGGTTAGAAATTCTGCTTGAAAACTCCATGTAAACAGACACGACCAAATCTCTTTCACAGTTATCCTGCCCTGTCAGAAGCAGCAGAGGTACCCGTGATGACTAGCACATTTGATGCCTGGGCAATCTCTGCGATAACAGAAATGACACATCATGTGATAAGCAACACAAGTGAGCCTGACGACTATTCTGGGATGGAGCCCACTCAGCAATTTGAAGGTGCAGCATGGGGAGACAATCAGGCAGTCTTCAGCTGACTTTCCTCTTCTTCCACGTCGGATAACAATGGCAGTAAAATGACTTTTCAAATCACGCAGAATATAGTTTGTGCAAGAAAATGAGAGAGGACAGACAAAAGCTACATTCCACAATATTATGGTTTGCTGAGCAGTTTTGGCAAAAGCGGAATTGTTTTACTTACCCTCTGCCACCTGGCTTCTCTTGGAAAATGGCAGAGAGCAAGTAGGAAATTGGGCAGAGATAAAAGATGCTACAGTGCTTTTCTGTCATTTTCCCATGAATATGTATGATTTTAGGTCTTTCTTACCCTGGACGGGAGCCAAAGGCTCATAGACTACTCGATAACCCTGCAGGACTCCATTTGCTGCTGTCGGCTCGCCCCAAGACACATTGAGTGTCGTGGAAGTGATTTCAGAGAACGCCAAGAAGCTGGGAGCACTGGGTGCTGAAAGGATTACAAATGGATTGAATTGCAGCAGGCGTAGTCAATCTGATATACGTATATATTATAAAACATTGAGGTTTTTTGCCCGGTCTAAATCTAAAGGAGACAAAGTAAGAATGGGATTTATGAATCGTATCAAAATTTCCAGTAATCAATCAAAACCAGACTGTCTTCCCTAAGAAAAGCAACTACTCTGCTGCAAAACTGGGTCTCAGCAGCAAGCAAGGAGACACAACAGAAGGAGAAGACTCTCACAGGAACACTAAGTTTGGCCTTTGCTCTCCATCTTGCTGCTGACTATCAGAAAGCTTGCAGTGTTTTACTGTTTGCTCTCCCCCTGTCATGATTAGTGGAGACGCACTGCAGAGGCTGAGTTTTCTCAAGCTAACTCCCTCACAAGAGCAGGGCTGAAGGCAGCGGGGCACTAAGAGAGCACGCAGCCCCAGAGCTCATGTGCTCCTTGTGGCAGCCACTGCCCTCATGTAGCTCAGTCTGATGGCAGGGCTTCAACATGAGGGGCTGCACAAAGCATCCCTCTTCTCTCACAGCACTGCTAGGGAATTTCTAGGTGATGCTAGCAAGTTCAGATTTTCAGATGTGATAGCAGAGGCCCCAAAGAGATCCCCAGAGTTGCATCCTGGATTGACCTGCAAAGGGGTTGGTCATTCTGACCACCTGTTCCAGCTCCAACTCTGCTCCCCTTCCCACACGGTTGCGTTTTTTGATCCTTTCCCCCCAGCCAACACAACATAACGACTCAGCTGAAAGCTAACTCTAAACAGCAGTGCCCTCCTGCATGCCCCACACTCCCCCATTGGCTACCAGCAACCACCAGACCTGTACTTTGAGGTGGTCACATACCAGCCTGGTGTGTCCTGCCCGCCGAGGGTCTGCTCCTGGGGCCGTCCCCTGCTGCATTGAAGGCGGAGATGCAGACCAAGTACCTCGTGTGGCTGGTCAGGTTTTTGAGGCGGACTGTTGTCTCAGGGAGGAAAAGGACCTTCACTTTCTCCGTGTCATTCTGGACGTCGCTCTCCCAGTAATAAATCTGTTGGAAACAGTGAGATGTTTTAGCATCTAGCTCCCAAACATCCCAGCATTGCAGCCGTACAGATGAGCAGGATGGAGCAGCCTTGCTCTGGACTCTCTGGTAAATGGCAGCTTTCACTCTTCTCCATGTGCCCAATCTTTTCTTTTTCTTTGGCAAATTACACCGAGTCCAGTTGCCATGCAGTTGAGTACATCATTCAAAAATAGAGCACAGGCTGAAGAATATGGCCTGATGACAGCAGATCGGAGCTGCCAGAAGCTGCGAGGAGAGGTCAGTCTTTTAATTCTCCCTGAAATGCTAGCTGCCTGTCAGCACTGGCACCCTGATATGACGCTCCCATCATTCACTTCCCTGTGCACACAACTGTGCCACCATTTGTGTTCAAAGGACAGACAAGAAAATGCCTTTCTGAAGAGGGAATGAAGATTTTTCCTAAAGTTCTTTGCATTACCCTTCTCCGTTCTCCCTTGCACAATTTTTATCCTGATCCCATAAAATCAGGATTGGAGAAGATGATTCCAAGAGAGAAGTGGTGCCAGCCCTACTTATTGGACAGGCCTGGCAGTGTGTGCATTACAACAAGCCAAAGCAAGCCAGAAAATGGAGAGAATGAGCCAAGGCAAGACTCTACCTTGGCTCTACAAGGCAAGCTGTTAGAGCCATCTATATACATAGAAAAGAAAAAGAACATGAATTGATATATAAGGTTTCTTGCTACTGCCAAGAAGGGATGCCAGATTATTCACATTGGCTTGACTTTTCTTCACTTATGGGTCTAAATTCATGGAGAGAGGCAGAGCCAGATGCTGAAGACAAGCCAAGCTCCAGTGTTTGTAGACTTGCCCATTTCCACTCTCTGAGGGTCCATCCTCATGCTGGAGAAGCTAAACAACATGCCTCTGCAACGTGCTCGTCTCATATAAACCAAATGCAATTAATGCTATGATTTAATTTTGTTAAAGTTAGGGAAATGAAATCTTCTGAAATCTCACCTGGCTCAGGCTTCTAGTTTGGAGAAAGTTCTGCTTTTCCTAATGGCTTTGGAATAGTTGATAGATGGAAAACTCACTTAGCTTCCTCCAGTACATTCCTAGCCCCTAGCTTTTCTGTGTTGGTTGCTTTCTGGAGCAGATAAGTTGCCCACATAAGCGTAGCTGCCTCCCTGTCTGCATGCCCTCTCTCCCCATGCCTTCCTTTCTCTGCAAACAGCAATATGCTTTTCCCTTTCTTCCCTCTTCCCCCCATCTCATTTCTTTTGATTTTGGAACACACAGCCATTTCCATACTGCAGGCTGAATACTGCCTTAATTTGCCTTGTGCAGCGAGGGCAGCTGTAGTTGTAGAGCCATCTCACAAGTAATAGAAAAGCCAAGCAAGACAAATGAAACCAGGAGAGAAATAGAAGCATTGCCTTGTAGCCTTGTATATTCCCATTTTGGCTGTCGGCAGGAGGTGGGTCCCAGGTGAGCTCCAGCTGGCTTGCAGAAAGGGAGTTTACTTGGATGTTCTGTGGGGCCATCGCTGGTGCTGGAGAGAAAGGAAGACAGAAGAATTAATAGTGACAAGCAGAACTAGTTCATATCCAGGCTGCAATTTTCCATTTGTGGAAGGGCCGAGGACAGGCTGTGTTTATGCCGTGAGTCAGCTCTCACAGCCAGCCCTGGAGGTATCCGTATCGCTGGGAAGTCTCAGGTATACAGCAAGAGCATGCAGGGACTGAGAAGCTCCTGAGCCTACAGAGGTGAAGTTCTGTGTCACACAGACCGGGTAAGACATTGAATAAACTCAATCCTGTCAGCAGCTTTGGAAAATAAAAGAGAATTTTTTCTTTATTCTGTAGTAATGTTTCAGGCTTGCCTTTGGCAGTGACATGGTGCTCCTGAGCAACCCGTCTTGAAAGCAGCTGTGGGGAGCAGCACAGCCCTATGCCTCACCAGCACAGCCCCCTGCCCTGCCAGTCCGGCCTTTGGACTCAGTGGCACATCTTTGTATCAGCCCCTTCCCAAGGACCAAGGCCAGCATCACCCCTGTATCTAGTTGGGTACCAATCAATCCGCCTCACATTTTCTGTACGACAAAATGGCTAAGCTTGCTACTCATTAACTCTGATCTCGTATCACACACATACACATAGCAGACCTGATGACACTTCTTTGCATCGTGCTCTGCAAGAAAACCAATCTTTGGCTTCCTTCAAGAGCACCTGGGTCACACCAGCTCTTCCTTCTGTCAGGATGCAACCTGGTGCTGGTGGATTTTCTTAGCCAAACAGCACACGTTCTATTTACAGAAGAGATGCCCAGGCGCATCCTGTTCCAACTCCAGAAGCAGGAAGGGAAAGGCAGGGCAAAGGGCAGCCTTCTCCACAGCCTTCACCCCGGCTCTGAGAAAGCCTCCTCTTTTCTCTCTGCCCGTTTATGGGCCATAAATAGAAGTGATAAAACATTCACCACTCGAATAAGATAGCCCCAGTTATCTGTTCCTCTGGAGACTTCCTTCTTTAGAGAATGACCTTCATAAGTCACACTTTTCTACCAATACTCCCTCCCCCCAGAGTTATAAAATAAAATAGTAATTAACACCCACTCAGCCTGACACCAACTATTTATTTTGTTCTAACTGTGTGGTTTCCATATTATCACTGCCCACCCTGCCGTTAATGGAAATGTTAATAACCAGCGCCAGGTTGTTGTGACAGATGCTTGGGCTCATTATCAGAAATTCTTATTTACCGCTCCATTAAACGACAGAATCGCACAAAAAAAAACAATTCAATCAAAACTAACTGGAGGAATTTTAACAGCCACATTAATAATCCAAAACATAAATAAAGTTAATGTCTTTTGCATGTTTGCCACTGGCAACTCTATTGCAAAATTATTGCTGTACAATTAAAATGTGAAAGGCAAAATTGTAAATAGCCATTATCCTGGGCGAAAACTATTTGTTTCTTACACCTTTTGTTTCCTTTTTGGCTGTGCATGGCAAACGCAGGGGGTGGTGATGACCAGCAGCACAGCAGCCACACACTGGCTGGTTGCAGGGCTGCTGCTGCCTGATGCTGCTGCTGCACCTCTGCTCTCCAGGGCACTGCCTGCACTCAACACAACACAATGCTGCTCTGCCGAGGGCCCCTCCAAGCATCTCGGGGCTTTGAGACCTTCACTGCACACATCAGAGCAGTGGGGCCAAAGTGATCACACGATACAAACCTGGAAATACATCTCGGGGATTTGCAGATGATGACATGCTCAGAGAAACGGGAATATGTACAATCACAGAAGAAAACGGATTGCTTTAGCAGTGTGTTTTCTCTTCTGGGTAGTGACAGTACTGGCTGTCCTGAGCTGACAGCTTCAAAGTGCTCTCAACACTGAGGTCTGAAGTGATGACTGCAATAGCATTTTTCTTTGGATCCTATGCGCCAGCCTGGAACAATTGCTGCTTCCGAGCTGTGACCATTAGAAGAGTCGGTGTGTGCAGCCTCTGCCACAAAAACACCATCTTTTCCTCAAATCCTTTATATAGAGCACGTCTAAGAAACACAATGGTTAAAAAGTGCCAGTGATCACTCTCCACTGACACCCGCACTGCTGGAGCTGCACTTTTGCTGGCGCGGAGGTGGAAAATTTGATGGGAGGGGAAAAATAAAAAATGATAGACTGCGTGAAAAAAGGCATTTCAGCACCGCAGAGCCTCGACGAGATGCAAATTGTGTTTGGTTTTGTGCCCCGCGAGTCTGTCCCTCTGTTCAACTTTCAAAGGCTGACGTGCACAGGTTGGCAGTGAGAGACAGCAGCACTGTGCTGCTCACGCTGGCTGTGGCTCTGAGCACACAGCACACGTTCCCACATGGGTAAAATGCAATACTTTAAACAAGAGGAAACGCAACCCTGAAGAGTTTACCTGCTTGGAACCCTCAGCCATTTGCCAAAGGTGCGGACAGCCCGTGCCAATAAAATGAATGCATTTCAAATGCGAATTCAAAAGCCTTTTACCTTCTAGGAATGCGGTTTGAGATTACTGAGCTCTGATTTTTTTTTTTTTTTTTTTTTTTCATGACTGTTGAAACCACTAATATATAAAAGCAAGGTTAAAGCCGCATACCTCACACTGCTTTAGGTGTTCGTGACATTATCAGCTACAGCAGGAGTGACACGGAGCCCGGAGGGCCCAAATTCAGGTCTTGGCAGGTGGAAAGCATTTCACTTTCCCTGAAAAAATGCATGTATTCATGAAGTCTAATTCCCTGCATGTATCCCGCTTTGTTATCTCACGCAGATATTTGCAAACATTTCTTTCCTTATCTGATCTCAATTCACCTTTAAGATTGTCTCCTTGACAGTCTCTCAGTCAAAAAGGAAGGAGAAAAGCCTGAGCGGGTTGTGCAGTAATTAGTAAAAGTAGTAACAACAGCAACAACAACTACGGGCTGGAATGATGGCAGGGTTGTGTAAAGACGATGAATCTATCTGGGAATGGAATGAGAGAGAGTAAAAACGAGTGCGTGGATAAAGTTACACATCCAAATCCACATTTAAATATATCACTGTCCTCATTTCTCAGTGGAACTGAGTGCCTCTGCTCACTCTGCAGACAATTTGAGCTTGCAAATGCTTATAACCTTTAAAGAGAAGGTGCTTGAAATCCCCAGTGGCTCTGCACCAATCTCCACGCTCTGCTGAAGGTTCACCTTAGTTTTTCTCCTGCTTGCCTGGGATATTTGCTCTCTGGGCTGTGTGACACTGAGAGCTTTTCATCAATATGAAAGTACTATTCCTTTTCTTAGTGACTGCCGCCACGATGCTCTGTAGCACAGGTAGGCTACAAATCCCTGTGATTCATCAGGTAAACCTAATAGCTGGTTTTTATGAAGCATTCCATGCTGCTCTTACTGCTGCTCAGATTTCTGGCTAGCGAAAGGTTTCTCCTCTACCGACTTTCTAATTATTTCTATAATACCAATATTATGTTGGGGAATTCGTAGACAAGTCTGGGACATGATGTCCCTGGTACTCATGCCATTTAAACATACAAAAGAATACAATCATGAAGAAAAATGCAGTGAAAGAGACCAAAGATTTTCTGTGCATCCTCTTGATCCCACAGTCCCAAACAATCTTAAGCAAATTCCTGTTCTGTAAAGACCTCTGATCCTTTTCTATCTAGCAAGCATTTTCCCTCCAGTTCATCAAAGCATGCTTTTGTGAATGTGCCTGCCTTTATTCCCTGGTAATCAATATATTTGCATTTTGGTGTTAGCACCTAGAGGCCAGAATCTCATTGCACAATGTGTTGCATAAACACAGAACAAAGAGACAGCTCCAGGCCTAAAAGCCTCTAATCGGTATTTCTGCACACTGTAATGGAGGGTTGGCTGCAGCATGTTCTAGCACAACAGATGTAATCTTATCTACCTTCTCCCTGCAACAAGAGGGAAGACAGAGCAATATTCAGTGCAGCATATGCTCACAGTTAAAGCACGCACACGCAGCACCTCCCAGGTTTACACACAGGTTCCTGGCACACGCAGCCCTGGAAAATTGAGCTGGAAAGGATTGGAGAAGGCTCAGACAACCCAGGTTCCCACATCACGTTGGGCTCAGCTCTGCTGCCCAGATGTCTGTGTGATCCTGGCCACTGACCCCTCTCCAAATTCCACTGCCATCCCTACACAGACACTGCCTATTTAAATAACCCTTCACATGTACTCTTGGGGTAGTTTTGCTTTCTTAATGCCTGGCATCAGCAATCCTTGCTGCATTGGTTCTGTCCCGGCAGCAGGACACAAAGCATCCCTCCTTCTCCCTTTGCAGCTGTGCAGAGATAAGCAACTGTTACACAGAGCATTAAAAGCCAAGCACAAGAAAGCAAACAAGGCCACAAGTTAAAATATCAGAGACTGATAAGCACAATGGGCAAAGCCAAACACAAGAGATTTTCTCACAGTCTGGACTTAAAAAAGAAAGGTGAGGATGGTCTCTCCCCCCCAAAAAAATGAGCAAAGTGGTGGATTTGCAGATGTTTGCAGTTATTCCTTCCACCAAGGAAAAGCACTGTGAGAGAAAAGGCATTCAGTGCTTATTGGCCATTTTCTTACAGTGCCTGTGAAGGAAAGGTGGGAGCAGGAACGCTTCCTCTGTGCAGCAGTGCTCCGTGCCATCAGGAATGCTGTGTGAGCTATGCTGATTAGCTCAATAACAATTACTTAATTGTGCTTCAAAAACAGCCACTGAAGCTGCTTTCCGCTGTGACAAGGCAGTGCAAGCTATATTTAGAACGTAAAAGATGTTTCCCACCAATTTCTGGCTGTTTTAAGCAAGGCTGCATTTTGTGATGAAAGTACAGACACATTTTTTTTCCGAGGGCTGTGCGTTGTGGGGCTGCTCAGATGTATTTCAGAAGCAGTAAGATGGTCAGATTTACAATTCAAAAGCATGCACACTGACACCCTTAATTCCCCAATACAGCCCTGTTTGCTGTCACTGGACCTCTCCTACCCAGGCACCAAAACCCAGCACTCTGCC